CCTTTTTTTTTTTTTTTTTTTTTTTCTATTTTATTTGTCAGTTTGTTCGGTTTTTGCAACACTACGGATCGACTTGAGTTCGTTATTGAATGCATATTGAGGACATTTTTAAAGCGAAAAAACCCTAAATCGATGAGTTCGTTATCAAATTACAGTACCTCTTCGTCACGGTCTTTGCACTCCCATATGTCGGAAAGATTGAGTATGAAGTCGGTAAAACTATCTTTTTGAAGAATGCACAAACGGTTCAAAGTTGAAAAATTATATGTTATTTTATTTAGTTATAGTCATATAACGTTACTTTCTCGCTCATGTTTTCTAAAACATTTCTTGTAAACGGGACTGAGTCCCCAACATACGCCGACATTGTCAACGACTGAATTTCTTTAACTTGTCTGTTGGGTTAGAAGCCGACGTTGTCAACTGAATTTCTCTCACTTGTTTGTTTGTGTTAGAACAAGCGCCTCACCATCGCTTTTTTTAATGTTATTTATTTTTAAAAAAAATAATGTTTTATAATGGTTTGATCCTAAATTTGTAGAAATAATCATGTTTGCTCTAGAACATGTAACAAGAGTAGTGTAATAGTCGGGTTCTAAAAAAGTAGGTTGAGTTTGACCGAACCATAGTAATCTATTACATGTTCAACATTTTTATTCATTATTTATTGTTTTGAATAAATTTTAAGATTTGTACGAACGGTTTCTCGAATCATTTTTATGTATGAACTGCTTGCTCATTAGATCTCTCAATTCAAGCCATGTTTCCACTCGACCCTCTTCTGTGTCTCCTCTTGGAAGAGTCCTTATTCCACCAAGTTTGTGCATAACTCTTAAAATAATCATATGGGTGCATGTGAGGTCCTACACCGATTGAAGAAAGAAACGAAATATTTCTTATAGTGTTGAAATATCTCTCTAGTAGATGCATTTTAAAATTGTGAGACTGATGACGATATGTAATGAGCTAAAACGGACAATATCTACTAGCGGTGGACTTAACTGTTACAAATGGTATCAAAGTCAATCATCGAACAATGTAAGACACTGGTCGAAATAGGGTTAAATCCTCTCTATGGTAGACGCGTTTTAAAATCATGAGACTGATGGCCAAAATGGACATATCTGATAGTAGTGAACTTGAGTTGTTACAAATAGTATTAGAGTCATACACGGGCGGCCAAAATGGACATATCTGATAGTAGTGAACTTGAGTTGTTACAAATAGTATTAGAGTCATACACGGGCGGTGTGTCAAAGAGGACATTGACCCCTAAAGGAATGAAGGATTTCTTATGGTGTGTAATGAAGCATGTGTAATGAAGCATTTCTTAGGGTATGAAAATCTCTCTTTAATAGATGCGTTTTAAAATTGTGAGGTTAACGACTACTTGAATTATTATTTTATATTTGTAATAAACTAAATGGTTCCACTCAAGATAAGATGAAAAAATAAAAAAGTTTTTTTTTTTTTTTTTTTTTTTTTGTAAAAAATATATATATTGGTGTCACAATATTAATGGCACACGTGTGGAACCTGTCGAAAGGTGGTAGGCATGTACGAATGGTGGGTCCCACAAGACATCAATTGTTTAACATTTATGGTCTTTGGGGTGGGCCCAATGGGCTGTAAAGAAGAAGGGCCCACGTGGGCTTTGATTAGTTGGCATGGGCCCGTGGGGGATGATGTTTGTCTGGTTGCTTTGCTTTGGAGGACTAAGACAAGTCCTATCTTTTCTCATACCCACTTTGCCTTCAAATATTTTCACCATTCATCATCATTCACCATCAAATTTTACCTTCAAACTTATATTTTACTTTTTTCAATTTTACCTCATTTAAATTTTTTATACTTGTGACATCTAAAAATCTACAAACGGATGGTAACTGATCAGGTGGCCTATAGATCAACCGAGTGAGATCATATGTCATAGTGCATCATACTTATCATATGCGATAAAAAATTACCAAGAAAATCGCAACTCGATTAAATGAAAGTCGCTTGATTGGTTTAAGTTTAACTAGATGAGACTATAATTCACCCAATAGATCATACTTGAACGATATGAGATTACAAGTAATATTTAACCTCAACCTTGGTGAATCCAAAAATAACCAAGTGGGTCATGCCCAAATCATAGGTCAAGTAGATCCAAGTGAGACTAGAAGTCACCTAACATGCTATGAGTATCAATCAAGTTGTAAGTTGACAAGTGTGGCTACCATGCCCTACCGAGTAGCTTGTAATCATTGTGCTATATATATATATATATATTTTAGGCTTTGAGAATTCAATAGTCATTCATGTATCAACAAAACCAAATTGATACACTTCTAGCAAATATTGTCCTCTTTGGATTTTCTTTCGAATTTACCCTTTGAGGTTTTTAAAACGTGTATGTTAGGGAGAGATTTTTTATATTCTTATAAAGAATATTTTGTTCCCCTCTTCAAACGGTCCACCAACCAGACCGTGATGGCTCAAAAGATTCAGTGTAACTTGACATGGCTCAAACTGTCCACCAACAAGCCTTAGCCACACATCATTGTAATCGCACTGCTTGACACACCTCGACCTTCAAAACCTAAGAATCGTTGTCATTGTGATTACTAAGTGAGATCATAATGTTCTCTCCATGTGTGGCAAATTTTACATTTCAACTTCCTATTTTCAAAATTTAGGAAGAAGGGAGAAAATCAAAATACTTCCAACAATGTGAAGAACCCAAGTCCACCCTTAGAAGATATTGTCATTTTTAGGCTTCCCCTCAAGATTTTTGAAATGTGCCTATTAGGGAGAGGTTTCCACTCTTATAAAGAATGTTTCGTCCTCCTCAACCGATGTGAGATCTCACTCTACATCTCTGTCAATATTGGATTGTGATGAATCAGACAAAATCAAGATCATTGAGTACCATTTACAAAAAAAAAAAAAAAAAAAAAAAAAAAAAAAAAAAAAAAAAAAAAAAAAAAAAAAAAAAAAA